TTTTCGAACATTGGAAGTATAGTTCTCAAATTTTTGACTTGTTCAGAATGTAATAGCTCTAGACACAGACACACTTTCAAGTTTAATTACAATGCAACAACTAGGGGCAGGGAAAATTTTAAATTTAATCTGGTTTATGAAAACTTTCTCTTCCATGTTTTAAACTCTGGACAATCTACAAAACACACACACAAAAGGACCCAATTTGTATGTAGCATTTTCTGATTTCTGTGGTATAAATGCTCCCACCAGGCTCAATAGTAAAGTACCGGTATGATATCTCTGAATCAAACTTGGGAAGAGACACATAGAAGCACACCATTTAAATAGCATTTCCTCTATAAAGATGTGATTGAAATAAATAGCCCCAAGAATATAAACAATAGAAAAATGTAATTCAATAATTAGGAAAAGATGAGTATTCATCACTTCTCTTTTAATATAGTATAAGTTCATATAATTTAATTTTTAATAATAGATTCTGTTTAACAACTGGTTCACATGATTCCTGAAAGTTAACCAGTCAGATTTTGTAAACATTCAGGAGCTGACCAGCCCACCATTGTTAAAACTGACCTAAGCATCATTCCAAAACCCTTGCTTTCTTGCCCCTTTTTACACGAGGGTGGCCAGTCAGATGGTTCTGACCCATGAGATATGGGCCACAGTCAACTGTGATGTCCCTGGGAGAGTTTTTGCTTTCTGGTAATGAGATTCACTCTTTTTCTTTCTTTTCCCATCCTGCTAGAAAACAGGTGCAATTACTCTAGCTGCAACGACCTTGCTACTTGGAGGGGAATACGAGTAATGTGCAAATACAGTGGCCAGGACATGTGATACTGCTGCACTAATGTCAGTCACCCCTTCCTCTGGACTTCTTGCCACGAGAAGAAATTTGTCCAATTCCTATGATCAGCTATCTGTCACTTGAAGGAAAAAACATTCCTAGATGATACAGAAATGAATCCAGTACTCTAGATGTTTTAGCCAATCTTGACGTATTGTTTGTCCTGTCTAGAGACTGCTTTTAATTTATAAAGATGAGGACTGGGTTCATTTGTGAGAACCCAAATTTTGAATAAACTGAAGTGGCCAAGGTTTTTTTTTGTTGGGTTGGTTGGTTATCTGACTACTTTTTTGGGACATGAATTATGTTCTGGCATATGTTGAGGCTGGGAGCAAAGCAGTTTCTTTTGTTCTCATTCTTCCTCTCAGTTGCTTTGTAGGGTATAGGAACTAAAATCTATGCTAAGCTGTTTTGAGAAGACCTTTCTTAAAATTCCATCTTATCATCAGAAAAAGATGTTTCTATAAATGTAGCCAAGTACAAACATCTACAAAAAATCTAGTCTTATACAGCAGCAGGACTAAGATGTTACAATGTTAAATTAAAAGTCTGCATTATATGGGATTCTGAAAGGAACAGATCCTAAAATATGCACCTTGCTGAACTTAAAACACAGAGCAGACAGAACACTTGAGGATCCTGCTTTTTTCAGGCTTACAAGTTATCAGTATATATTATGCCTTAACAAAACAATCCGTTAAACTGTGGCTTGTTTTATGTTACTACTTAGATCATGGCATAGGTCTGTATTGGCTCTTTTTTATAGCATCCATTAAAGTCCTATAAGAAAGGGGCAGACTCATACAGAAGGTAGAAAGGGCTTTATATTTGAGGGAAGAAGGTAAACAAATTATAACTATGTTAAATGCTAAGAGAGAGACTTTATGCTAAAATTACTGAGATTATTTGGAAATTTTAACAAATGGAAGCCTAAAATTTCATACCTCAAACCAGGGTTAATGTAATCAGAGTCACAGTTTGGGGAGTTAACAGGAGATAAATTTAGTCAGCTGAATATTACCTCCCTTTACCAGAGTCCATCTACAAGAACTCGTGTCAAGCCATCTCTGGCTGAAGAAGGCTTCTCTCATTGTAAATTTATACAAAGCAAGGTACAAGGAACAGATAATCATTCCCTTCCTACTCAGAGGTATTAGAAACTTCCTCAATACAGATACCATAAAACGATGCCAGTGATAAAGTTTATTGCCAAGAGCCAAATATTTCTAGACCCAAAATGAGTTTCTGGGCAATGTATCTGGTGGTGGACATATGGGAAGAAAATATACAGGAATCTTAACTGGGTATTATAAGAGGGCTTCTGCCAAAGACAGTCAAAGTCTGATTGAAAATTTTCTATGACTGTTTAAATCCTAAGGCAATATCCCTACCCCTAACATTTATACCACAAGAGGAGGGTTGATAAAACTGTACATCTCCCAAAAGGATAAACTTCTGTACTGCCAATCACACATCTGGCCATACAGGACAATGAACAAGGGAGATATTCCCAGAGAGCTGGATCAAAGGTCACCAATTTGGCTGTCCAAAGCACTCCTGTCTCTGCTGAACAGTCATGACCCAACAAAATATTATTGTGTGCCAGAAGAATGACTATTTTGTGTTTTTTCTCATCTTTTATTTTCTAAGTGGGAGCCTTTATAAGATTTATCTTAATCTTGTCAGTGTTGAGTATTATACAGGTTTGATATAGATAATGTAGTTTTTATCCAAAGACTACTAAACCATAGATACGGATTCTATGATTGAAGGATTTACTAACTGCTCATGTTGACATTTGACCATGAAAACAATGGGTAGATAAGCTTAGGCATGCAAGAATCAGAGAATACAGAATCTTTGAGATCTTTTTGGCAAATAAAGACTTCATGATGACAAAATCCAGTCAACCAAAAGATAAATCAAAATATAAAGAATTCAAAGAAGATTTACTGAAAGGACTTAACTGAGCATTGAAATATTTAAATAAAAAATAAACATATGAATAGCAGCTAATACCAGTCATATAGAGATTGTAAGCCTACACAGAAAAAAATGATAAAATAAAATGGGATTGGGGATAATGGAAATCTGAGGAAATCTAAGACTAGTTTTCCATCCTTTAAGAGCAGAATACTAACAACAAGCCTATTACATACTGTATCCAACATCTTATTATATTTTTTAAAGATTTATTTAGTTATTTTAGAGAGAGAGAGAGAGTACGAGCAGGGGGAGGGGAAGAGGGAGAGGGAGAGAGAGAATCTCAAGCAGACTCCCCACTGAGCTTCGAACCCTGAGGTGAGGCTCATCTCATGACCCTGTGTAGAAATCAAAAGTCAGATGCTCAACCGAGTCACCCAGGAGCCCCCAATATCTTAATATTTTGAATAATCTTTCCTTGTAACTTTTGAAAAATCTTGTAGTATCTGTCTTATGTTGAAGAAACATATTTGTATTCTTAGGTACTTATGATAAAATATGCTTACTTTCATCTGTACCTCTATGTTCATTTGCAGGATTATTTATAATAGCCAAGACATGAAAACAACCTAAATGTCCATTAATGGATGAATGGATAAAGAAATGTAATTATTTTCACACACACACGGACACATTGGAATATTCAGTCATTAAAAAAGAAGGAAATTTTGCCATTTGTGACAACATGGATGGATTTTGGAGACATTATGCTGTGTGAAATAAGTCACACAAAGACAAATCTTATGTGATTTCACTTATATGTAGAATCTAAAAAAAACAAACATAAAAACAGAGAACAGATTAGTGGTTGGCAGGGGTGGGTAAAGGTGGTCGAAGGGTAAACCCTTCCAATTATAAGATGAATAACTTCTGGGATGCAATGTCCAACATGGTGATTGTAATTAACAATAATATATTGTATATTGAAAAGTTGCTAAGGGAGTAGATTTTAAAAGTTCTCACCATACAAAAAAATATGTAATTATGTCAGGTGATAATGTTTTAACTAATCTTATTGTGGTAACCATTTTGCAATATATACATATACAAAATCAGTACTTTGTACAGCTTAAACTTACAGAATATTATATGTCAATTATATCTCAATAAAGCCTAAGAAAACCAGTTAAAATATGCTCAGTTAGACAATCATATGATTTATATTGGTAAAACAATATAGAATTGAGATTTAACCTTAGGGAAGAAATAACTCCCTGGATAATTTTGATTAGAGGGTGATCATTCTGGCAGTGACAGGGAAATAAATTGTAGTTTGGTCAGAAAGAAAGCAGGGAGACAAGCTGACTAATAATTATGGGGGTGTTAGACAGGAGACTTAAGATATACCTTGAAGGAAGAACCCACAGCTTTCAGTTATAAAGAAAAGAGAAGAACCAAGACTCGCTTCTTAATTTTTTTTGTCTTTTAAAAAAATTTTCCTAAGAAACTAAGTGTCTTTTACTAAGGTATTAATAATAAATGCTAATATTTATGAAGCATTTAATATATATATCAACTCATATGAATCTTACATTAACCTTATAGGTTGGTATTTTTATCATACCCATTTTCAAGACAGAAAACAGAGTGGTTACCAGTTAGCCACTAGATGATGAAACCCGTAAAAAGTAGCACAGCCGAATTTGGACATTTGTAATCTCTTAATTAATCACCATGCTTTTAATCAGAACTGTATGGATGGAAAGACTGAAGATAAAAATTCAGGTTGCATGGTAATGATGATATAGCTTTTAAACATGAGAGAGTGATAGAATAATTAATTAGGAAATAGATATTATTATTGGTAGAGGCTATATGTATCAGAGCGGCATTATGTGTAACTTCTTTGGCCTCACTTTGCCTACCATTTTGGAGCTTCCAAGTGCCTCCAATACTCTGCAATCAGAATGTGTTTTCTTTACCCTAATGAAGAAACTGTAAATAAGGAGTGCATTATCTAAGGCCCTATCACACTCAAGAAAAAGTGAGAATCTTTCATGTTTCAGATATTTGTGTCACAATTTGGTTATCGACAACTATAACTCATATTTTTAAGTAGCACTTCACTTAGCTTTACAAAGCATATTCTTGTACTTCATGTCATTTTGATTTTAATTCTCACATTTACTCCACAATGTATATAATGCAGGTATTATTATTTTCGTTTCAGGAGTGAATCTACTTGACCTCAAATAGATTAAGGACTTGCCCAATAACAAACGGAAAATCAGTTGCAAAGGTAAGGTTGTAATTGGTTTTTTTCAGTTCATATTGTACTTTCTAAGGGCTTTAGACACAACATTAGAATTGAGAGTTTGGTTTGAATCTTATATGTTTAGATGGCAGCACCATGACTCGATGTAATTGAAATGTGCAATAGAATATCTTAACACATAATTTCGTATAGCATAAGGACACACCTGATGATACCGACTGAGGTTGTGGTTGGTTTTACACGTATATGAAGAAGACAGGGCCATCCAAACTTGATCCTCAATCAGCACCCTACCACACCCATGAGGTTCTCAGTAGGAAGAAATGCCCAAGTGTTTGGAGAGTTTAGGCATATGTACCTGGTTTGATTCTGAACCCCATGAAACTCCCAACCTTGGTAAAGTGACCTGGACTATGGACAAGCACAGAACTTATTTTCCCCCTCCTTTGGAGTTAAGCCAGTCGCTCACAGAATTTCTTCCCAGTAATGCATCACATCCTTATACTCACGGTATTTCCACGGTCATATTCAGATTTTACGATTCACTCACTGTGGTCTAGGACAGTGTTGCTCAAATTTTTAAGTCTATTGCCTCTTTTTGATAAAGTTAAACATTCCAGCCTTTCTAACGAGCAGTCTTCTACCTGCTCTGACCCTAGAGATTGTGAAAAGAGCCATCCCTAACCCTCTCACTGGAAATCGCTGACTTGTATTATATGTAGTACACCTGGGCTCTTTTGCACCTGGGCTCATCTCTTGATGTCTTATAGTGGCAATGGTGAGAAGAGACAGAAGGAAAACCTAAAGGAAAAAAAAAAGAGGTAAGTGAGATAACCTTTTTTCTCCAAAGCCTACAGAAGGAATGACTTAACCTACTGATCCTACCTCTAAGCATCCCCACAATGAGGACCTGCCCAAGTAGAAGACAGCACTGCTCTCTTTGCCCACCTGTTACAGGGAAATAAGCAATTCAAAAGAGAACACATTTGAAGCAGGATCCAAAAATAAAAGATGTAAAGAGAAAGCAGGCTATGTAGAAATAAGCACATTTAATGCTGAGAGTTAACACCTGAAAACTGCATACCTTGGTTCCTTGGCATCAAGCAGTGTCCCTGACCCACATGATAACTGGTTCTCCTTGGTGTGGGAAAAGACTGGAGCAAGAGAGCTGTGAGATTAACAGTGGGAAAAGTACAGGTACTACAAAACAGTGTTCTGTTTCCTGTTGAATTTTAAAAAACCTTTAAATGGTTAAAAAAACCTAGTTATAAACACGTATTGCTTTATTGCTTACATCTTTCCTTGGGGCACATTCTGTTCTTCATTTCCCTTACTTGTTCTCTGGTCTGCAGTTTTGAACAGCAATTCGCTGCCGAGATCCCTGGGTTAAGTAGTGAGGGAAATCATTCCAGCTTAAGCATGTTAAGTTTGGATGAGGGCACAGAATTTTCAAAGAAATTGAAACTTACAATTGTGCTTAATTGGATTTAACCCTTCAACATATTGTGCAGAAGTACACTGGGTAATAATATATACTGTTGCTCTGTGCAGATGTTAAAATGTAAAATCCTTTAAATGCAAACAGCACTTGTCACTCCATCTGCTATTCAAATTGTCAGAGATGTATCAGCCAATCCTAACTACCCTCTGCAGGCAATCTGGAGCCAGCCTGCTGTTTAATAACCAGCATTTAACAAGAAATAACATGTAGATGTGGTGTGTGGTTTCAAATATGGTGTTAAGCGTCATTAAAACTCAGTCTCCTAAGAGTCTTATTAAAGGAGTCCTTTCCTCACCATAATAAAACATTTCTCTGTGACTGTTTCCATCTAGCTGCTAACAATACAAACAAAATGCCTCTTAATTTAGCATCCCACTAGAGGGCCATTGTGATTGTAGAACTGGAAAGGCAGGGAGGAAAAAACAACCCTAAACTACCTTACCCAAATCCCACCTAATCAGTGAAACGGAAGCACTAGGAACCTTTGATTTTAGGATTTACTTTTACATTTTTTTTTCTCTCTCTTCCCTTATGGTCTCCGCGTGGTTATTATGTGGAGCTGTGTCTTTGTTTAGGACTCGGAGGAAAGATTGCTGATGACTTAGAAATGGGCCCTGCGTCATGGGGTCAGCAATCTGCTGTTGTTGGATGGGCTGATACAGTTCTCAAGACAGTGCATACATGAAACTTCTCCCGTGAGAACTCATGTGCTCTTGATGCTACTATTTATTTGAAAAGAGAGTGAAATTTGCTCACCCTACAATTAGTCTGAAGTCCTTCCATCTTGTTATTACAAGAGAAAATACATGTGTAATTGTGTCAATGAATACAGATAATAATTTGAATCTTCTATGGCAGAAACAGGGAAGAATCCAATTCTCTTTCAGATCTTCGTTCTTTGAAAACGTCTATGCCAGTTTTCTCTGTACAACTATCCTCACTGCTTCATAGACAGTTACAGAGCTAACAAAATTGACAAATCACAATAATATTTTGATACAGGATGCTAACAAATTAGATTTAGGAAGATTTCATTCTAATATTTTTATTCACTGAAAAGATCTTCTAACTTGCAGTATTTAAAGTGACTCAGTGGAAACAGAGGATTGTAAGTGGCCCGCTGACTGAAATTGACCTTTGCTTTCTTTTGAAATAACCACCAAGAAAAGAGAAATTATTTTATCTCCTTTTTAGTTCATCTTACCTATGAGATTCAGATAAGTTGCCAAGCATGATGATTTTATTTTCACTCATGCTGTTTATCCAAATGCTGGAAGAAGAAAGTTCCCTGAAACATAGAATAACTCTCCTAGGTTTGTAACAGTTCATGGTATTTGCCACTTAAATATATTGAAGTCCAAGAATACAGTATTTAAGATTCAACAAAACATATTAATCACACTTTTTAGTTGAGGGAGGATGATTTATCTTTAAGATATATTTGAATAGTTTAGAAATAGTTGATACTCCTCACAAACATCAAAGTTGTTTCCAGTTGGGATATGTACTTGGTTTTCTATGCTGTTTTAGTAATATGAAACTTAAAGAGTATTTTTTTTAAAAGATTTTATTTATTTATTTGACAGAGAGAGAGAGACAGCTAGAGAGGGAACACAAGCAGGGGGAGTGGGAGAGGGAGAAGCAGGCTTCCCAGCGGGCAGGGAGCCCGATGCAGGGCTCGATCCCAGGACCCTGGGATCATGACCTGAGCCGAAGGCAGACGCTGAACGACTGAGCCACCCAGGCGCCCCTTAAAGAATATTTTTAATATAAGGTGTTAGGCCAGACAAACTAATAAGATTGCTATTACTGTAAATTTTCTCTAGAAACATTTAGATTGAACCATATGAAGTTGCCATTTCATAGTTCAAAAATTGTCAACAATCGGCAATTTCACATGACTCAACTGTCTCCTTCTGAGAATAAACTGAGTTGCAAATTCATTTTAATAACAGTTTCTCTTAATATAAAGATCAAAGTTCAAACAGCCTTTTCTCATGAAAGAATGATTCCAACACATATGTATCTCTGTAATATATTCTCCCTAAAAACTCAGGAGAGGACCCATAAAAGCTCTTTTGGTGTGCCAAGCATCTCTTTAAACCAGTCCAATTTGAAAATACATGCTGCTGATGAAGACTGAGAGATGGGAGATTGAATTACTTACTTGCAAGGGTGACAAGTCAAGAGTGTGTCCAATGTCCATTAGAGGAGAATGTTTTATTCTCATTCTCTCTCTTATCTCCAAGATAGGTAGCACTGTGAATTCACTACCTTTTCACTACATTAAAATTCACTCAGGGCCAAATAAAATCTGCCAGGTGATTCCCAGGAGGCCCTCTGGGGGCAGAGCCATTAGAGAAGTACACGATATAATTAGAATGTAGACTGTGAAATCCATTCACACCAGTATAATATAAGATGTTATGTATACCCAACTGTGATTTTCTTTTGAAATCTCTCCATATTGTGTTCCTATGTGGCATTTTCCTTGTATACCACTTCCTCTTCTCAGGTACTACATATTTCAGCAATTTAGAGAAAGTATACAATATTCCACCTCAGTAGAGAATATGTCATTTAAAGGTAGCCCATCTAAAGTTAGAAAGGTCTTATGGAATTCACAAACTTAAAATAAATTAGGTCATTATGTTTTAACTCTTATAAATAAAACTTCACATAGAAATTATGATAATTTTCCAAAAAATGGAGCTCACAATATAACTTGCTATGAGATTAGATACTGATGTGCAATTAAAAAAAAAGATATCCATGCTAAAATGTGAGTTTCCATTCATTTAAAACCAATTTTTTGAATGGTTACTCACAGCCTATACTAGGCATTATAGATCCAAAAATGCAAAGATACAGACTTTGCCTTCAAATTATTTATTGCGTAGTGGATGGACTGAAAAGCATACATAGGCACCAACAAGGAGAAGTGCGAAGGTCAGTGGGATCACAAAAGAAACCCCTTTGTTTAACCAGAAAATGTTTTTTCTTGCCGAGGCTTAAAGATTGGGAAGATGTCCTCCAGGCAGAAGAGGCAACATGGATAACAGACACAATTCCAGGCCTGAGGGAGCTTGGAATGTTTGGGTAAGTACTGAGGTCTAGATCATATAGGGCAGTACATGCTGTACAAGGAATATAAATTTCACCTTTCATGGAAATGGAGGCAATTGAAGAATTGTGAGCAGGTGAGGGATATGGCTAATTTACTTGTGTGGTTGATCTCTCTGATGGCAGTATCTATAGGTAGATTGAACAGATGTGAGTCCGAGGAGTGAGGTGTGATTCTGATAGCCTGGTAGAGGTCTGACAGATGCCCAGACCAGTGCATCTGAAGTCTGATGAAAGTAAGAGGATGGATAAAATAAATATTTAGGGAATAGAGTTGATTGGACTTAATGATCAATTGAATATGAAAAACAGAGAGAATAGAAACAGGATTTAGGATGATGTCTGACGTGAGCCTCATATTTGTTTCAACTATCATCTATATCCTGAAGACCATCTAATATATTTGCCCAGCCTATCCTTCTAAGTTCTTTATTTTAGTTTCTAATACTGACCTTAAAACTGTGACCAGTTGCTCTTTTCCTCCCATAGATGCTCCCCTTTTATTGTGCCATACCTCCAACACATGGTACCATTATTTATTTACCTCTTAGCTCAAGCCAAAAATCTGCGTGTCAGGCTTATATCTCATTCCTCTTCACTGTTCACATCCACTGAATTACCTACCGCCATGATTTTTCCTTATAAATATTTTCTCAGATCTCTCCACTACTCTTATTCCCACTACCATAAATTCCCCCACCACTTTCTGCCTTGAGTCTAAGCTACTGCATTTTTTCCCTTTTTCTACTGAAATATCTTTTTGTTTTCCCAACTCCTGCTCTCCAATTCACACTGAAGCCAAATGACCTTTCAGGAACATAACTGGACATTTTTGAAATCTAATCAACTTTGTTCTCTGCCATCATCTCAAACCAAATCTCACAGCATTTACTACCTCCTGTATACATACAACTTCTATGACTCAGTTTTACTGGCCTTTCTTTCTTGATTCAGCAGTTACGTATGTTTTTGAGTAACTTTTACTCATGTTTCTCAAGTCTGCATAGGTATAACTTCCTCCAGATTAGTGTAACCCTAGTAATGGGTTTACATAATGCTCTGAATCACTTTGTTGTATCACTGAATAAATATTCTTTTTTTTTCTTTTTAAAGATTTTATTTATTCTTGACAGAGAGAGAGAATATAAGCAGGGGAAGCAACAGGCAGAGGGAGAGGGAGAAGCAGGCTCCCTGCTGAACAGGGAGCCCGATGCGGGGCTCGATCCCAGGACCCGGGATCATGACCCGAGCCGAAGGCAGATGCTTAACCATCTGAGCCACCCAGGTGCCCCTGAATAAATATTCTTAATAAGGAATAATGCAATGTTGTGAAATTGGAGTATGTTTCAGAGTTGGATTGGTCATAAGTCAAGGGATAAAGTTGAATGGAGGGAAGGACAATTAACATTTAAGAGGTAAAGGATCTGTGGGGTTAGTTTGTTACATGAGTCAGATGAAAGGAAACTAAAGGCCTTCGAGAAATCCGCAGTACTGGAGTGGTGAACAGTTTGGTAAACTGGGTATCAAAGTCAGTAATGAATGTGTGGGAGTTCAAAAGAGAGTGGAATAGGTTGGTTGTAAGAACATTAAAGAAGGAATAATTTTGGGGGAACAGTGTGATGCGATGATCTGGAAATGGCAGTGGGCTTACTAGTAGAAAGAAGGTATGGTTATTGGTTTTCTGGAATTTATTTAATGTGGGAAAGAGGGTTCACATTAAGACAGGAAAATAAACCAGGGAGTTAGATGTATGGACTAATAGGGGGAAGAGAGTGATAGGAAAGGTATGAAGGGTGGTTATGTTTAGTGAACGACAATGGATAACAGTAGAAAAAAACAGAGTTTTTTATTTCAAAGTCTGTGAACAGAATTTAGATTAAAATTATTCTGATGAAAAAAACTGATGCAACCTCCATGTGGTTGGGGGAAGTATTACTTATATCTTGCTGTTGAATTTCAATTGCACTGGGAGGATGAAAGTTAAACAGGTCTCTATGTCTAACAAGCAGGGAGTAAGACAGATGGTATTAAATATCACTTGAAGCGGGAGTCCACAAGCTCTAGCCAGTGGGCTGATTCTGGCCCTATGGCTGTTTTTGTATGCATTTTGAGCTAAGAATGCTTTTACATTTTTATACTGTTGAAAAATATCAGAAGAGTAACATTTATATTGACTGCTTTGTAATATGCTATGCACTGTTCTAAATATTTGCATTAGTTGGTTCATTTAACAACAAATCTATAGAGTAGGTACTATAATTTTTAGATAAGGAAATCGAAACTTTGAGAGGTTAGATAAGTAGTCTAAGATAATAGAGCCTATGAGTAGTCTAGCTGTAATTGAAACTGAGTCTTAACACAGAACCTGTGTTTTCACCTGCTTGCCCACTTGAAAAGTTACCCAACACCATGAGGGCACTCTGGAAGTGCAAACAAGAGAGATGCAGGTAACACATTTTGGTGTTAGCCCCAGGGTGAAGTTTCAGAGAGGCAAGGAAAGACTTAGGAGAATAAGACCATGTTTCTACCATGATGATAGAGAATTAACTTTGAATCCCAATTAATCAAAATGTTTTCCCTTCCTAAAAAAGAATTCCATTCTTTCCATTAAATGAGTTCTATTACAAAATTTTTACTCAGTTATTGTTGTTATTAGTAGTATATTTTGAATTTAATCAATTGAAAATCTGTGGAAATTTTCTCTCGTAAGTACCTTGATAGTATCCTTGATTTGATCTCTTGGCTCACAAAGCCTAATATTTTTACAGTCTGTCCCTTTACAGAAAAGCATAACAACTTTTGATTTAGAGTCATAATCTGTAAGTTACTCAAGCCCAACTGAAAAGTAGGATAAACCTGGAATATATAAGACCATGTCTGATAAGACCAATTGAATGTTTTTTCATTACATCATGTTTAGACTTCTCTTACCAGTCTTTCATTCGTTTTTCTATCACTCCTAGTTTCTCCCTAACTAGGGGGACCAAACCAGAACATCTCCCAGTGCAGGGAGTTTGCTTTCTCCATTTGGGATTTTGCCAATGGGAAGTACATCTGTTCTTGCTGTTTGACGTTTCTTTGTTAGCTTGTTCCTCCCCCACAGCCAATATCAATTGTCCCCTGTGCATATATTCACTTCATTTCTGCCAGATTTTACCAGATGTTAGTTGTGTTATTGAGAAAGGAAGATGGACAAAATCCCAAATCCCAGATCAGCTATTTCCTGCCAATGCTTACCTTTATTCCTAGGGGATACATATATACAACAAATTCCCTGTATAAAGCATCTCACATAGACAATTTCAGTGTCAATCAAATTTTATCCCAGTGTGTACATTCTGTTACATTTGCATATAAGAAGACCTAACATAATATATGTCTTGCTTCCAAAACAAGGATTATATTATTCTTAGTTAGGTTTTCAATTTTCTGCATAACTATATCTCTAAGAGAAAATGGACTCGATATTACTGATATAAATGGCACACACCATCAGATTTAGACCATTAATTCCTAGTCCAAAAAGTCAGAACACCAAGGAAAGAAAGTTGTGTAGAGCCCATCCTTTGTAAGGACAAGTCAAGGGAACGTAGCCAGCCAGAGGCAAACTCCCTGGAGAGAACCAGGGGAATGACTTTCCTGAAATAGCTCCCTTTCCTTCCCCAAATCACTCCCCAGAGATCACCATTTACTGATCCCATAGCCAGAGGGGACCAGGTGAAAAGCAGGGTAGAAATGAGTGGGGAGTAAATTTGGAGAGACTAATAGAAGATATTCTTCATTACTTCCTTTTCCTTATGCAGTCAATAAATACTCACCCGTGTTTTGTGCCTGTAATTACACTAGACCTGGATATACTGCAGTAAATGAAGCTCATTCATGGTCTAATCCAAGGGTTATTCTGATAGGTAATGTAGTGTTATAGAATGAAAAAGTTAGATCAAAGAGTGCAAGTACCAAAGGGTACAAAAGATATGTAGATTAAACAAACAGTTAAGAAGCACAAATGAAGCATTGTTCTCTTTTGTTTTTATTTTCACAACAGATGGTTGAATGAACAACTCCAACAAACTCAGAATACTGATTTAATAATGGAATATTATCAGTATAGCTCATTTAGAATATGTAATTAGATTTCATCCTTGATTATATGTGCAAATACCTCCTAAGAAAATAACAGCTTAATTTTGGTTCAGTAGCCATTTTAAAACTTTGAACCTCATGCTTTCTAAATTTTTGTGTAGTGTGATAGTCAAGGAAAGCAGTCTGCATTTATAAGTTGAAAATTTTTTAGTCTTAAATTGTTTCTAGGAAAATAAATAATATTGCCATTGGAGTAAAGGAAAGTTGCTATGGAAAACCTATTACACTGAGGTATAACCCAAGAGAAATAAAAAATCATCCATTTTTGGCATATAGTAAAATTAATGTAAAAAATTGATATCCCAAATACTACCATTCAAACTGCCATATCAATAACAATAACAATAATAATAATAATACCCTATAAAAATATAAAGAGTCTGGTCAGAGAAAAGAATCTTTTGCTGCTGTTACAGTAGGCTCCAAATTCTTAAAAGATTTAAATCTAAACTCATTTCAGTTTGCCATTTGTTTCCAAGATGATTCTGTAGACTAGAGATCAATTATTAATATAATGGATATTTACCTCCTTGTTGTAAGGACTTTATTGTGTCCCTAAGGTCTTTCTGTAATGAGATCAAACAAGAGACCTTCATTTATTGTTTGTGGTCAACTAAAATTCCCATAATTTTTTCCATTAATTTATTTGAAGCTAAATCTCTCTCGGGTATATTTTTTAAAAATTCTTAAATGCAGGTACATTGCATATCAGTATAACCGTATTACATTGATTTTGTTTTGTCTTGAGCCGGTTATTCTCATTTATAATATACTTTATTCACATTAATTCCACCATCTGGCATTGTAACTGTTCTTCCTCTTTGTGTTTGGATCACAATTTTGATGACGATAGACTCAGTTCAGAAACATGTGGTGTTATCAATAGAGGCATTCCTACGGGCTGACAGATTAATTCAGCTGCATCAGTTCTGAATTTATCTAACTGCATGGTTTTGAACCTTCTTTATTTTTTAAATTCTTTTCAATGCATATTCTTAAATATGACTATATGAAAGAAATTGGGTCAGGGGATGGGAATAGAAAATGAAAAAGCCATGATCTCTACCTCACAGGCTAGCTCTACCTCACAGAAATCATGAGGCCTAGAAGGTTCAATAGGAAGAGTACATGGATGGTTTAGAGGTCCAAGGTATATGGCTAACTTTTCTTGGTGAATACTTTGCGTCAGGAATTGCTAAAAATGCTATAAATGTTAGCTCATTTAATCTTCACAGTATTACGAAACACTTTGAGATGAGTTTCAAGGTCACATATTTAGACTCTGCTTTTGAGTCTGTATTTGAGCACTGGTAGTCTCTCACCAGAGCCTATGTTCTTTGGGACCAAATTTGAATACCCATAAATACAAAATTAAGAGTGATTGACTTATTCTTGCTAGCAATAAGGAAGTATCAAAAGGTGATTTATGAAGAAAAATAACAATGCAGTTATTTTTTAAGAAAAATTATTCTAGAGTTAGTTTGAAGACTGGAATGGATAGGTCCATGGAAGGAGACTGGAAAAATGGAATATTTGACTTCTGTATTGACAAGAGAAGGGTCTGAGCTAAAGCAAAGCTTAGTCACTCTCATCACTTCCACCTCCATACCCTTCACCCTGCTTATGAACTGGGTCACAGGAAATCCTAAAAAAGCATTCTCTCTATTCACCTCTTACCCCAGGGAATCTCCTCTATTTGCTATCCACTAAAGCCTCTTTCCTGCACTGTTTCTGCAGATCTGCCATTTTTGATTCCATGCTTACTTATGAAAAATTGCACTGTTTCTTGATGTCTTCAACTTTACTTTCCTAAAATCCAAATTTGATTTTCTAAAATCATAGCTCATTCTTTCCCACTTTTGCAACAGCTTTATTTCCTGGAAATCCTAATCTGAGTTTGAGTGTGGCCAGGACACTTGAAACGGAGTGGTAGGAGTGTTTCAACAATAAAGTTGATCCTTTTATTCAAAGATCTCACTGGGCCCCAGAGTAGGTTTTGAAGCATCTCTCTTTCCCTGCCCACCTCCAATAAGTCTTAAAGGCCGATGGGTTTTGCCGCTATAACACATGTTGAAGGATCTAGGTCAATACTACCTGGGCTTAACTGGGACTAGTGTAGTCCTCTATTATGCCTCTTATAAACATCTCCTATAAATTTCTCATGAGGTTTACTTCTGTGGCAAATTTGCAGCCTGTCATGGAGAGGGAGTAGTTAAAAATGTATTGACTGTTCTACTTGTACACATTTAGACATATGACACTGAAAGTATCAGCATGTATGTTGTGACTAAAGGCCTCATCCTGGCTAGCAGCCATCACACAGAGAGCACAACAGATTAATTCATTGTCATTTTTTAAATTATAAGCATTCTTAATATGAATTATTTAATTAACACCTTCTGCCTTAAAGAGAGGTATTAGCATATGGAAGCATCTGTTGAGTCTGGCCTCCTGATGTGAAATGCAAGATTTCTGAAACTTAAACATGTGCACAGATATATGAGCACACATTCAAAGGCTGTAATTCGCATTTCTCATGTAACCAAATGGTTTTGTGGATAAAAATGTAAAAAGAATCACAATTCATGGTAAGATAAGCCTTCACTCTGCATAAGTGTTGTCTTTAGCTCCAGTATATAACAACCAAGTATTCTGGTCACTATAATAATAATACAGTTTGTTAGAGAGTTGTATTAGCCCAAGGAATTAGCATTAATTTGAGAAAGCTTTATGAAAGAAGTGACTTTGTGAAAGTAGATAAGAAAATTTAATGGAGAAGTGGAAGGGTAATCTTCTGTACCTAAGTAGAGAGTCAGAATTTGATTTATTTGTTTCAGAATTTGTGATGCCCCTTCTAAGGTGCATGTAGGAAAAAAATCAGTTATGGTATAGAAACTATGTAAATACAAAGGAATATCTGAGGGAAGCGAGGGTGCAATCAACTTAGTGTCCATGATTAGGAGATTCAGTTTAGTTTGAAAGGTAAATTGAAGTCAATGTAAGAGCCAAAATGAATGAATTGATTGTGGTATATAAATCAATAGTGGAAGAAGTTGACTACAGTCCACCAGTTTTAGCTATAGTTCAATAATAGAGCGTTTAGGAGGGAAACCAAATATATGATGGCAGGAATAAAAAGAGAAATGCATAGACACAAGAAATATCTGAGGGAAAAGAGGTTGAAATAAATGAGTATTGTTTCAATCCTTTGAAACTGAACACTTTAATGGTATTAATAATGGAAGAGTTTTTAGGGAAGTAAAGAGGTTTTACAATTGAGAGTGAGGAAATAATTTCTGTATAGAAATATTAGGTTCTATATATTGGTGGGCAAGTAGAAAAATTTTAAAGGGTCAAAAATAAAGAAAATACTGTCATCTCCATTAGTAGAAATGTTCAGAAAATCTGGATATTAATGACTGGCCAGCAGATGGACTAGATGATGCAAATTTCATTTTCCTTCTGTGTGACTTTTCCAGTTTTATTGTTAACATTGTCTTCTTTCAAGTGTTCCTGGTATGTGTGTGTATATGTGCATGTGTGTGCACACATGCACATATATGCTATTCCTGTCGTCTGGCCGCTCTTTTTCTGTTTTCTGGTACTGAGCATCAGCATTGGAAAACAGGAAACAGCAGGTTGAGTGCTAAATAAAATGTGTAAAAATAGAAGTAACAGACTCAACGATACGGTGAGATCTATAAGACTAGAGAATTAAGAAAAAAGGCAGTTTTTTTCTTCCAATATTTGCCTAAAAAACAGATGTAATGGAGGAAGATATAATAATTTGCCTTATAAATAAGATAAAAAATAACCACCAATCTTAGAGAAAATTTTAGGGCCCAGTAACCACCCGATGACACCTTGCCTCCACTCAAAACTCTTCAATGGGATAATGAGAGCGAAGGCTGAAAGAAACAAGGAGGTTCAGACTTTGGGCATGGGAACATTCTCAGATGAATCATGACAATCTTAAAAGGCAAGTAGAAGTGGAGGTTGAAAATGGAAAAATGACTTAAAGATTTCAGATGCTTACAAAATCATGTATTTGAAATGTCTATAGGTGAAAATATTATTTAAAAGAAAGGGCAATCTTGTTACTCAGGTTTTAGCATAAATACAATTTATTTTATATGCAAGACTAAAGGAAAACATAGTGAGAATTTTTAAAAGTAAAAGGGATAAAGAGAAACTCAGTACCTGAAAATCTTGAAATTTCATAGTCTGTATAAATATATTGTGAATTCCAGAGAACCATTTTAACCCTAATTAGAACAGAATAGAAATATTAACTCTAGAGAATGGAGTTGTGCTTTTTCACTGAAAACCTCAAATAAGAGGTAATTATACAAGTTCATTATTTTTCTTTTGTTTTAGTGCTGTTTCCTTTATCTTAATTCCATATCAAACAATGTAATTCATTACAATTTAGAAAACTCATTTTCCTCTGTTTTCCACTCTGGACATTTTGTGATAATTATTCCTCCTTCAGAGAACCCTCTATCCTCTTATTCAGAGCCTCTTCAGCTTCTTACTGGATTTTTTTTTTACATTGACTTGCGTTTCCTTTAACACGTTTTTATTTTCACTTTGATATTTTTTATTTGATTAGTAATAACCCTATGAAATGATTTCCTAAATGAAAGTTGGACAGTCTCTGGGTGAGTCAGTTTCCAGATGACTTATGAGAACTATAGGTCCTGTTTTATGTTCACCATTATTTTTACATCTGCCCATTATTTCCCCAATATAAGCCCTTCCCTTCTTGGAAACTTTCCTGTGATCCATTTCTAGGTCTCATTTCAAACCTTTTCTCCCCCCTTACTTCTCTGCACTCCATTTGCTTTTAGAGAAATCTTTCTCCTTTCTAGTCTCCTTCAGAGGAACTCTCACGTTTCATTTCTTCTCAAACTCAATTGTCGTCTTGTTCTTTCATGATAGTCTTGAAGGTTCATCAAACCCAGATCTGAATCATTAGCAATTGAAAATGACTGACTTTCTTTGAGAGCTTCAAAATTAAACTTCAGGAAGAGAGGAAAGCATTCCCATTTTATTCCTTTAGTACGACTGTGAAAATAAAACAGCAAACTTTCAATATTAGAGCAATTCAAACATCCTAATCCTGCCATACAGTCAATAAAAAATATTTATTAAGTCATAAACTGATGTAATTGAAGGCTTATCTTTTGTCTCTTTCTATGACAGAGGGTGGAAAACCTTTCTTGCAGCTTGATGTGAGCCTGTGCCCAAATGGAGGAAACCCATCTGGTGGTGATGGTGGTAGGTAAGGGGTTCCTGGGATGTCTTTTTCTTTCTTGGTAAAATGATGGATTGAGACTGAACATGGATGTGATGTGTGATGCAGCATTCTCCCTGTGACCATGAGGCAAGATGGAGAGCTATACATTGAGGATGGTGAAGCAAAACATGAAGTTCCTGGGTCATGGATGGCATCACAGAGCGGTTGGAAGGCCACTAACAACTGCCTACCTTTTTACGTTTATTTTAGTGTGATAGGAATTTCTTTGATCTCTTATTTGTCTAGTTTCCTGTTACTTGGAATCACAACTAATCCTAACACACTTCAAAGCTTCATTCTTGTGAGTACATGCCCTGGAATCAAAGCCAAATGTGTGCTTTATAGAGGAGCCCCCTTGTCTAATCTGTGTCCCTGATTCTCAGTTTCCCTTGGGGAGAAAAGCTTGCTTTCCTTCAGCTGTGTCTCTGGTTCAGACACAAATCAACAGGGTCAGTAAGAGGAGAAGGTATTGAACATTGGCAGGCTACTATCTTTTCCTCCACTCTCCACTTGAATAAAACCATTTTCTGCCTATTGCTAAAATCAATCATGCAAATTGGCTTCTTTTGTCTCAATTACTGGTTCAGGGGAAATGTTCAGACACATCTGAATCCCTGCTTGTCCAAGTTGGGATGTCCAGTCTTTTTTTTTTTTTTTTTGTAATATTTATCCAATTTATTTAATTAAATGTATGTGGAGTGCTGGTATGTTATTCAACAAATCTAAAGTAGTGACATAAACAAGTCTACCTCTTTTGCTAGCAGACATTGAACTAATCATAGATTTCTGTCTATATTTCTGATAACTCAGTTCTTTTCTCAGAATTTGTTTTTCTTCTAGTCATCAATCCTAGATCTTTAACTTACCATCATAGGACTTATAATTTCTTTTCTTTCCACCATTAACTGTTTTACACTCTTAGTATTCAGAATGTTGGCAGAAACATTTTTTTGACAGATTACCATAGCTCTCTTGTTTTATTTCCTTTTCCACTTTATTTATTTTGTATAGTCTCCCCAAGTTTTTCTTTTCATTCAAAGCATATTGACCACTTTGACAGGAACCTCATCTTGAAAATATTCCTTCCTAGTATTATAAGAGCACATAGAAACTGTGCCAGACACAATATATATTACAAATATTATAATTTTATTTCAAGTTATCTCAGACATTATGACTGAAATTATTAAAATTATTATCAATATACAAAGTGTGGCATCTCTCTCGATGATCAGATAGGGGTCCCCAAATGTGGGGTGAGGATCGCGTGGAAGCCCGTGGAAAAGATTCATCCAAGGCAGAAGAAAAGAGACAGAAATTTATTGGATACTGCAAGGGAGTGGTGGGCAGAACAGCAAAGGAGAAACTGCAATGAGGCAGTGGGTGGGGGCTGTTTTTAAAGGGGGAAGATAAGAAGGTAGGGCCAGGTATGGCATTTTCCCTTTTTTGGTAACTGTGCCTGGTTGGAAGTAGCCCATTTGTTAGTTAGGGCCTGTGGATATTTTGAGGTGGGTGGCCTCATGGGCCTGTCTGTATTCAGCCAGGGGGCTGCTGTGGGTCTTGACCAAGTTTCCATTGCTCATATAATTTATGACAAATTATATTTTCCTCTCTCTTTGTCACCTATGGCTTCAGTTGTTTGAGATACAGCAAACTCATTGACCGTCCTATTGTCTAAAAGCAAGGTTTCATATATTTTTAGAATATTTAAATGTCCAATTTACATAACTCACTTTTATGTCTTTATTTATTTATTTAAAAAGATTTTATTTTTAAGTACTCTCTACAACCAACATGGGGCTCGAACTCACAGCCCCAATTCCAAGAATCATGTGTTCTACTGACTGAGCCAGCCAGGTGCCCCTCATTTTTTTTATGTCGTTAAAATTTTATCCCATGTTGGTTTAACAAGGTAAATTTATGTATCACTAGGACATAATTAAATTCCTGCCTTTATAGTTACTATATACTAAGGTAAAAACTTTGAACTTCATTTATAAAATATTAATTCAAACTATTTCAATTGGATATTTTTTTAAAACCTAGTGTTTTTTGTAGTCATAGAACACACTGTAACAAGTGTAACCACTGGAAGACTTGAGTTGCTGTGTGTGGTAGTGCAGGGAACATTGATTGGCTTTACAACCTGGCAAACCTGGACTTAGACATCTCCGCCACACTGATTTGGTTACCTTGTGTGCATCACTTTCCTTTTCTGAAGCTCAGTGGTCTTAATTATAGATGGTAATAATAATAGCTATTTAGTGCTGTGATGTTTTTGTCTCTTTTAAAATTAAACGTATAAACTAACAAGCCCTTTTTTCTGACAATACCCTTTTTCTCTAACAATTAAAGATTTAATTCCTTCATGGAATCTTTTTGAATTAACTAGATTTCTTCTTCAAATCAACCATCCTCCAGTTCAGAAAAATTTAAAAATTTGGTCCTCGTGCTACTGTTCTGTATTTGAATTTATGACAAATTATATTTTCCTCTCTCTTTGTCACCTATGGCTTCAGTTGTTTGAGATACAGCAAACTCATTGACCGTTCTGTTGACTAACTGCCTAAGATAGAATGTGTGCTATTTCCTATCATTCTCATATGGTTTATTCATGCTTGATTTGTGGTTTTTACAGAGTTAAAAATAAATAACCATTATTTCTCTTCTTTAAAAACATTTTGAATTATTCTTACAGACATTTGGTGGAATCTCTAGAACTTACCATCCCCTTTTAGTTTAACCATATTTGTAAAAGTAGTTAAGTATGTGTTAGGTTTGCCTGGTGTCATATCACAAGTGGGCTTATATGTTAGGTATAGTGGGCCCTTTGGCAATAAGATCCACTGGGCAGGAAGGAAAACTGGGCCCAGGAAAGATGATGCAGCAACAGCTCTGTGGCCTGCCTCACAGTCCCTTGGCCAGCCCCGATTTTAGTTGTAACTATGGTAGATGGTTTTCTATAAGTTCAGATTCACCTAACACTGACCCATGTAAAGCTGGTCAGGTGTCTTTCCATTTTTGACTTGGAGAATTCCTTGGCACCACAAGAACCTAACTAATCTACTCTGCCATCTTTTAAGTGAACAATTCTGGATGGCAATATTTTTATGCTTCTTAGAAGGTTTCAGAAAGTCAAGCCAACCTGTCTCTTGGTAGTAATCTCAACACACATCCTTATCTAGGGTTTTCTTTCTTCCACGTCAAGTCTACCTCTTCCTTTTCTCCTGCTTCATAAGATCATCTATCAAATAAACCTGTACCCAACCCCTTATCTCTGACTCTACTTCCAGGGAAATCCTATGTAAAACAAGTGTGTTCTGTGAGAGGCTGCCCCTTGTGGTTATTCACACGGTCCCATGGACAATCGCCGAAAAGCACAATAAGCCTACACATGATTAAAGACAAACATGGTATAAAGAGGACATCTAATTTTGTAGTGAGGTTCAGGCAGGTAGAATAGAGGGTGACACTACAGTGGGACATAGTGGGATCCCAGCTGACAAGAGAAAACAAATTTTTTTGTAAGAGTAAGCTGTGGTGCAGCCAAACGAGCCAATGGGAGCCAGCACAGGTGTCCTGGCCCACACTGGAAGACTGAATTTGCTGGATAGAAAGCCTGGGTCAGAAACTCAAGAGCCTACGTTACACTGGTTCAACATGTCAAGGCAAAGTGAGAAATGTTGCAATTCAGAAGCTACAAATGAGTCCCAGCCTCATTCATAGAAAATGAGATATGGTGTTTGTGCAATAAGATGCCCAGGTTGCCTTTTGTTCTTGTTTTCCAAGTGAAAGGTATTTGTCAGTTCATCTTTCTATCTGAGGAAAGTAGGAGCTAATGAATAAACATCAGTACTTTTCTACTTTTTATTTATGTTAATGTAGTGGAGGTACTTGGAGGTTAAAGAGAGAAAAGAAGGAGAGGGGATCTCTCCCCAGCTCCCTCTGCCCTTGGAACATCTATCTGAGTCATTGTCACGGAACCCCTTATGTTCTGGATTAATAAGTTTTTGTAGAACCCTTGTCTTATGTAGCTTTATATTTTCCGTAGGGTCTGCTTGGTAAAAAGTTTCAAAACTTAATTACTTTACAGTGAACAGTCTATTAATAAGGTAAAATGGATAATTCATAGAGGATGCTTATATTTCCCAGATTTCTGAAGCAGTCAGAGAAGAGCAAAGCAGGAAGGTGAACCTTTAAGGTCTAGATGCAACATCCAACCAGCAACTAGGTAAACACCATGGAGATGGCTTAAACTTTTTGTTGTTGTTCTAGAAAAAGAATTTGTCATGTGACACATATTGGGTTATTATGTTAAACTCCATGTGAAAATTTTGCCATAGTTGCTGACTGGGGTTTTGTGAGTCAATAAGATCTGTGTTCAAATTTCAGCTCATCACTTGATGACCATGTAACTTCGGGTAAGTCACCTCATCTCACTGTTTCCCTTCCTGCTAAATGAGTGGTGGGTTTGAAATAATCTCCAAAGCCCCTTCAATTTCCAGCAATTTTATTTTAATTCAAAACAGCCCAAATGTTCATAAAATATTCTGGAATTGACAGTACATGAGTAATCAGATTCTTAAGTGAACAAAATGAGTCATTTTTGGATATTTATACTAAACATTTAACGATCATTTTATTCCTCTCAAAATGCATATTTATTTTTAGTTTAAGCATTGAGGTGTAGATTTAAGTGTTGTTGGCATGAACATTCTGACCCTTTTTACAAAAGAATGATACTCTTGGGAGATTAAAAATTCTAAGATGCAAAAAAGCCTGAGGAATGTAAACTATATTTTAGTGTACCAACTGATTTTGCAATTGTCAAATGCATTTATATTCACACTCACAATAGATTTCATTAGAGATTCTTAGCATATTTTTACCACATGATTAAAACCTTTATAGTGTTTGAAGACATCTCTCCTAAAGGAACAAATGCAATAGAAACAGATGCAGAAATCAAATAAGATAATATATGT